AGATCACAGGGTCATTTAATGCTGTCCAAACACTTATGGTGAGTGTCCAGGTAGTCTGGATTTTTTTTTTTTCAGGAAATTTGGAAGTGGGACAGCTTACTCACTGTAGATGATTCATATCTTTATATCCTAGTTTGAAGTGGTTCACCACACTGTGGCCACAACTTCAAAAGTGTCAGATGATCATCAGACAACACTCCTGCCTGTAAGACTGATTGATTTTCCCAGCTTTCTAGAGTTTTCATAACTCACTAACCTCTGCCCCTAAAACCAAACAATTTAGGTTCAAGAACAAGCATTAGGAAACTGTTTATGAAATAGTGAATACACTAAATTCCCCAACAGAGAAAGCTCTAAAACCAGACCTCTGGGGACTCAAGTGCATAGATACTGCACTTCTCATGGATTCATAAGGCATTTTTCCATGTTCCTTTACAAAGGTTTTATCTTTTCCAGTTTTAAATCTTTTTGTCTAGACAGTAGTAAGTAACTTGCATACCTTTCTGTCAAGAATGGTATAGTTAAGTCTTTCAGATAAATATAGCTGGATATTTTAATACAAAAATAAATGTCTAAAGCTCTACTTATTAGTAGCATCTGTCTCACACTTGATGTGTACTTCTCAGAAATATTCTAATACCTACAGAGGCTATATTTAAGCAACCTTGCTTCTGCTTTGGTGACCACATGTCACGCGCTGCCTATATTGTTGATTTTGTTGCTAAGACCCGCTGTGAGTTCCAGTTTCCAGTGTTTCAGGTTACATGTTTAAACCTGGCCTTCCAACTGTTTCACGCTATCCTGTGCGTCCCTATCTACTAAAGCTGATACTCTGGAGGCCCTCTCTTTCCACACTGGTCCACATTGGCATGAAAAATTGAGTGGAAAGAGGAGTTAGGATTACAGATTTTTTTTGTTTATGGTAGTTGTTAATTTTCCATTTTGGAAATGTCACTAAGAGGAAGATTTAGGAAGCACATATTGGGTGTATGTGGTCAGCAGATCAGCCTCTGTCACCTTCTCCCCTTCTGAAGCATTGCAGCCACTAGAGAAAAACCTGGAAACTCTGAGGGACCTGGCAGACATCAAAGCTGAGAAACCAAAGAGGACTACAGAGAAAAAAAATTACTTTAAATCTCTTTTCCATAAGCCTTTGATTCAGCATCTTTGATTAGGATGGGTAAGAAAAAATTTGGTCTTTATGGACACTTATTTGGAGGATTATATTTAGGCTCCCTTGTGCTGCTGGAAGTGAGCTCCCTGTACACCTGTGAGGTTTTAAATAACTTAGGTTGTAAAGTGTCAGTGGGACTTGGGCTATCCCAGTTAAGTGCTGTACATGATGACATATCAATCAGCATGATAGGGCTTCACTTCTGCAAGTAGAAACCACCACTGTGTTGTGGAAATTGTTATTCCATGCCAAAACCATGTATGTTACTCTATCAGGCTCAAGTCCATTCCTTTGACTCTGTCCAAATATATTTTGTACATGGCTGTGGTAGTTTGTGAATAACTTTAGTGAAATAACTCTAGGGTTTGTGTCAATGTTTGAATGCATTGTAAATTTTCTTGGCAACATGTTAATACTCCTTTGATTAGAAGAGCTGCCACTGTTGTTTGTTTTTATATTAGAGCAAAGAAATGCAAACATCCTTACCATCAAGACTAGGTGGAGTAGCACTGAAGGTAGGTTGTTGTGAATCTCTGTACTGTTTGTATTCTAAACTTGTGTGTGCCTGTTTTGTCCTCTGATCCAGCAGAAGCTGCTGTTTCTAGGATGCAATAAAAACTTTTCTGAACACTTCTTTTGAGGGCATAAAGGGGCAGAGTAGTGGAAAAAATCCAAGCTGAACAAATTCATATACTGAGGCTAACTTTACCTTAGAAGAGTTTCTTGGATTTTCATACCCCCACATGGGTTCATTGATCTACATGCCAAAAAGCTGGTTGGTTTTGATTTACAGATTCTACATTGTTTAGGAGATTATAGTCTAATTCTCCTTCTGCTGTGACTAGTCAGGGCATGAACTGCAGTCATAATGACAGGCACTCTGTTTCTGGATTTTAGCATGCCAGGCAAGGAAGTCACTTCAAAGTAAAGCTGAAACACGTGAAGAAGTTGTGTGGAGAGAGCACTAGGAGGAGGAAATTAGGTTGACCCTGGCTTATTAAAATGTAGTATACACTGATGAATGGGTGATTTTAGGCACTGCTGCAAAGGATAATACAGGATGAAAATGATGTCTGCCTTTATTAAAAGAGTTGGTACGAAATAGCAAATGTAAGAAAAATGTATTTTGGAAAAGGGATCCATTTTAATGGGAAAATATTTTGTTGTCAATAGTTGTTGGTATTATTTGTGTTGGAATTGTGTTCAGGATCTGCTTTGAGATGAGAGCACAGGGAGGAGCCACACTTGCACTTTTTGCTCTGCATGTGTCTAATAAGAGTCCTTGTCTTCAGTGGTTCACAGCTCCCACAGGGGTGGGATAAAGGGACTTCCTGCTTACAGAGAGCATTGTGGGCAGGAGCTTTACTTCAGGACTTTGAAATATCCTTGAAATTGCTTGGTAAAATGTAGCTCATGGATGCGTAAAGCTCTTCTATGCATTTTGAGGCATTCTGGTTTCATTTACTTTCTTTTTTAATTTTCTCCTCTTTTAAAGTCTGGCCTGTGATCTTAAAAGATGCTGCAGTTTAGAACATTGAATTTTCACTTTTGGCTCTTTCTAATATCTTATTTTAACATATGTCAATATGCTATTACAGCACAAATGGAGTGCAAGTAACCCTTGACTGGGTATTTCTTTGTAATAGACAACTTATTTGATATATTTTGCTTCTTTGTAGCCAAACACAGTTCTCTTTCCTTTGATATTTTAAATTATTTCCTAAACTATTTCTGGAAGTAACATTTGGGTTGTTGCTTGTCCAAGAGTAGTCTATTGTGTGCTGTAGTGACAATGAGCAGATTAGGCTTGCTGGTACTTGCTTCAATCGCAAAGAGATGAGTGTCATTGTGAGGGCTGAGTTTCTGACACAATATTTACAATTATAGCCTCAAAAGTTGGTTTCTGTGCATTTGCTTGAATAGTCAATTAGGATTCTTTGTTCTGGTTTCAGTCAGTAAATTTGCTCATTAGAGCGTTTTTATGTAACCACTTTTTGATTGAGACATCTGTGGAAAGGTTAAGCTAAACCGAATATTAAACTTTTAAAAATGTCAGATTTTGAGGCATTAGAATTGTCCTTGGTGTGAAATATTTTAGGTCTTAATTCCCCAGTTCATCTTCATTCTAGAAATACTTCAGTTTGGGGACTACAGAGAGATTTTAATTTAGGTGTGCTCCTCTACCCTGTAGAATCAGCCCAGTGTTGTTTTGCTCACCTGGAGATCTACCTCCTGTAGTAGATGGAGGCCAAGTTTGTTTTAAAACTTGAATATTAATGTGTTACCATATTTCTTAGAGGAAGTTTGATTTAATCTGAAAGCCTAAATGTTTCTAATTGGATGTGCCCACATCCCATCTGCACACATTCCTAGCAGCGAAGAGAATGCGATGAAGCAAAGATTTCTCAGATGTTGGCACTGTAGAGCCCCTTTCTTCTTCCTCTCCTTCTCTCCCCTGACCTTTCTTTTGGGATTGAGGGGCCAGAGAAGTTCAATTTAGGTATTGAATTATAATCCTGGCACTATTTTGGAAAAAAAATGTTGACTGAAAACCTGAATGCTTTTTTTCCCCCTCCTGTTTGGCACAATGTGTATCTCCACAAGTAAAAGTCTATGGATGCAACTGCAAAGCCAAATCAGATGGTATCAAAAGCATGGTAGCTTTAAAATTCTGGATCTATGTGGCAGACTGTTTAATCTTTCACCTGCTGTATGTGATATAATAACACTGATATATGTTTGAGCAGTCTTTTGGGATTTTATATATCAGAGAGACTGTGTATTTTGAAATTTAATCCTCATGAAATATTTGACATCCTGAATGGGATAATTGACAGAGGGACACTAATTAGGGAGTTGTAATTCAGACGGTTCTGATCATGTACTTTGTCCTGACATGTATATTGTCCCCCTGGTAACTGTGTTAATGGTGCTTAGACATGTGCATCAGGAAAAGAGTGCATACTCCTGGGAGCTCTGGAAATCAATCTCCTATGTAATGCCATTTTATAATGCTCTAGAAGGAACAGATTTACACATTTTTCCATTTACTAAGCTGATGGTATATAAAATATTCTGGCTTTGAAATACTTTGTCTCAGTTGGTGCTTTCATTCTTAGGACTCTGCTTCCTCTGAAACTGACCTTATGGCCTAAACTGGTTTGCATTTCTTAGTGTTTGCTTGAAATCTTGGATAAATCTGCTCTATTCAGCTGAACTGAGTCCTGTTTACCTTAGGCAGGAATTATTTCATCAACTCCTGAAATACAAAGCCCATGGCAAGACAGAAAAGGCAGTCTTGTGATTGCACCTCTGACCTAAAGGACAAGCTTTTTCCAAGTATGATTTCATTCAGGTAGTGAGAGCAAGACCTGGATTAAGAAACAAAAATATTGGCCTTAGGCAAGCAGGTGAGCTCAGTTTTTTCTGTTTTCCCTCTGGCTTTGTGATCATGCCACGCACATGATCAGACTGTCTGCCTGCCCCAAACAGAGCATTCCTCAACAAATCCAAGAGCTCTTGAACTCAGCAGACTTTTCAAACTTTCTCCATGATCATATAGCTTAAGTCAGGAAATACTTTTAAAGCACTAATTTGCTGTATGGTAAGTGAATACAGAGACTTGTTAATACTGCTTATGGTGCAGTGTTCTACCACTGCAGAAAACAGAAAAGCGAAGAACAGGCTACAGTACAGTTAAAAATTCTGGAGTCTGGCAAAATTTATTTATCAAATCTAAACACTGGGGGAATAATGATCTCACTCTTGAAAAAGGTGAAGAGGGATTTTTAACTTTTTCAAAATTAAGAATTTTTTAGGTTGCCTGGTGTGCAGCTTATACAGAAGCTGGCTCTTTCTGCAGTACAGTGTGTCCTCTGATGCTCATGTTTGGACATTGCTTCAACAATGAGTCAGAGTTCCAGCTATTGTCTCACTAACATCAGTTCCTGCTGTGCTGGGGGTTTCCCCTCTCATCTTTTTCCCAAATTATCAGCCAGACCCAACCCTCTTCTGTTCATAAAATCTGTTGGGAGGCCCCAGATTGGGCTAGGGTGGCTACAAGGTACTATTCACGGAATTCTAGCTCTGCATCTACCCTGCAGAAGAAATGCTGGTTATTAATTTTCATGGCTGACCCGGGAGCCCGAGTGCTTTGAGCAGCAGTGAGAGAACAGTCATTGCGAGAGCGCGCGGGCCACGGCGCCTTGCCAAAGAGGGCGCCTGGGTGGGAGGGCCTCCTGTAATCAGCATCGTGCAGCTCCGTGTGGCTTCTCTGCAGAATAGTCATGCTGTCATTTCAGGAGTTCCCTTGTGGGGAAAAAAAAGGTGGCAAATAGGCTTAAAAATGTTAAGAGTTACCAATGGACCAAAATCCATGCAAAGCGTGGGGAGAACCTTTTGCTATTTAAAAGAGTACAGATAGAAAGAGAAGATGGTATATCTTGGGAACAAGAAACCAACCACATTGTTCTACTGCTCTAAATTCAGACTGGATGGGACTGGAAGGAGGTGAGAGTATCACCCTGTTGCGTCCTGTAGCAGAAGGATATGGACAATGGAAAAATGAACATGTGATGTACAGACTAGGCCTATGTTGTAAATGTGTCTGAGTCACCACAGCCACCTAGGCTGGAACCTGTTGTCATTTGGTCTAATACTAAAGGTTCACAAAGCAAGCCTTTTACAAACCTGAAGTGTTTATGACAAATATAATCTGTGCAACACAAATGCCACTGATAGGATTTGATTTTGTGAACTTCTCTGATGCAATTAATCTCATAAAGGGTAATGAGAATAGCCATTACATGTGTTCAGAAGTGTCCCTAGCTTATGGCAATGCCCACATCTCATATGGTTTCAGTCTTCCTTGCATGTGGATATTTCCAGAAATTGTTTTTAGACTTTTCATTTATGTTTCTTGTGGCAATACAAAAAAAATTATGTGTATGGTCTTTTAAAAATACTTAAATCTTTTTCATATGCCCTTAACTGTGCACCTCAGCAGCTGACTAAAATTCAACCTATTCAGTATTTAATGCTATCCTCAGAGATGGGCTATGAGTTAGAATGAGCAGATGTCCTAGTCAGACTGAAAAGTTGTTTGGTATTTTGCTTAATTTGTGATGTTTTAGCATGAGACGGGCAGATTTCCATTTTAAGTGCCTTTGTAAACATTGTTGGTAAATTCTAACAGTAATAAGTATGATTATTCTTCTTGAGTCTTCAACTTTCCACAGACTTTTTTTATTTTGTGCTGCTTACAGCCCTAGGACCCTCAGTATAAGAGAGAACAATGCTTTATTAAAACAAGCTGCTACATAAAATGTGTGCTTACTCAGCTGGAAGCTACTTGGCCATTTCTGCTGCTGCTCTCAAGCTCCAGAGCTGCAGATGGAGTTGGGTTAATATAACATAACTTTCCCAAGAGCCTGCAATAGGACTTGATGTGTTTTCTGCTACATATCCTCATCTTCCAAATTAACCTGAAGACAAATGGGATCTATTTATTTGCTACTTCTCTGAGATAATATATTTGGCTGTCATAGTAGCTTCTGCTTTGTATTTTGTATAAAACTGGCTCCCTAAGGATCTGGTAAAAAAAAAAAAAAAAAAACCCTTTTTTTAAAAAAAAAAAAAAAAAAAGAAAAAAATCGATGGCATACTTGAGCATGCAACTGGACAGGGAAAAATTCAGAAGAAAAAACCTGAAAAATTTTGTGAGAGATGGTGCCTGATCTTTGGTTCAATGTCTCCTCCCTGTTCTCTAGGCGTGTGGCATTCAGTTATAAGTAAAGAATCAGAGAAAACCTGAAAAACAATAGCAATGTGGAAATCAGCCCATGTACCCACACTCACTAAGTAGTTCCAGAAGATGTGGCAAATTATATTGATGGAAAAGCTGATTCATACAATTCTCCCTAGCCCAAAAATTTGACAAATAAAACCACTGACTATGCCAGGTGCTAACAGATAATTCCATGAACATATTTTTATCAGGAAAGCAAAATCAAATATTTGAGAAAAAAGCATCATGAAAAACAACACTGTGGGGCAAAAAATAGATCAACCCTTTAACAGAGAGAACTGACAACTCCTGTCCCTCCTCTTCATGACTCCTTGAAGACAGAAACAGCAGAAGATGAGCAACTTAGTGACCTGTTAGATCTGCTCTTTTATTCAGGCTGTGATGCCAACAGTTCCAGTTGTTAATGAACAGCATCCACCTGGAGATGTGTGTACACCATGCCTCTTGTGACCTGTGAAAGAAAGGAGCATACTGTGAAAATGAGGTTTGGATGCAGCCCTAAGCACCAGAGTCAAAACTCTTTCATGCTAAAAGTTGAATTCCTACTGCCTTCAATGGATTTTTTGTTTTGTTCTGTTATATCGGTGTCTGTATTTCTGATGAACCAGCTTTTTGGTAAGAGGAAAACTGCTTTCACAGTGGAACATTGTGATTCAGGACTTTTAACAATGAAGTAGCACAGGAAGGTAACTTTTCTCAATGACTCCAGCTTGTATGAAACAGAATACGTTGTTGGCGTAACCACTTAGGACAAGCCAAAGCCTCTGCAGAGATGTACAAAACTCACAGATGAAAATATACACCTTCTGTAGACAAACCAGTTTGTTTTTAAGTCATTCAACATTTCAAAAGAAGTTTTTTCATTATAGCTAAAAACATCAGCAAGTGAGTCCCCAGCTCCCCATGGCAGGCTGTGAGCACCTTTTACAGCAGCTGCTGCAGGACCAATCAAGCAGTCACTCCTCGGGGAGACCACAGCCTCCTCCCACCTGCTGTTTACATCCCCACCCATTCAGCTCCAGGCTTAGGCAGGGGAAGGAAATGGTCTCACCCTGCATGTGCCTACGTGACACAGTACGTGTGTTAGAAATAAACCAACGGGTTTGCTGAGGATTGAAATTACCAGGGGCTTCTGATCAACACCAACCAAAGCCACACTGGGTCTTCAGCTGCAGGCTCTCCATGGGTGAAAGGAGCAGGTGACAGGACCACCTCAATGTAGCAGTCTCAATATAAAATTGGATTAAAGCAAATTAATTTGAGAGAAACAATTTAAAATTAAAAAACTCTAGAAAAACACTTCAGGTGGCACTGTGTCCAGGACAATTTAGGGTACATTTGCTCTTCTCTGTGCATGAATATTGATCAACAGGCTGCTTGTTTAACCAGGAGTGGTGATGGAGATGAGGTGATTGTCATTATATTTCAGGAGTGGTGATGGAGATGAGGTGATTGTCATTATATTCTGATTGCATTTCTTTAATGAGATAAGTCCTTAGACTATTAGAGGTGATGAAAGGTGTCAGTAACAGCATCAAGAGTGAAGGAAACCAGTCCCATTATATGTTTTCTGGTAATGTGGGGAGCAGATATGACTTTCAACGTTTTAGAAATTACTTGAGAAGTCATAGTAAGAACAATTAAGAAACCTCCCAAACACCCAAACCAGTGAAAACTTTAGTATTCAAGGAGATAAAATACAGCTCTGGTTGAAATGGTTTGATCTGAATTACTGCAGGAAGTTGAAGAAGGCAGCTTTTCTTGCAGCATCTAATAGGCTGTGAAAGAACAAGATGTGAAAGATAAGTGCAGACAACATGTGACAAATTCCTTTAAGATAGTTATTACTCCTACTCTTTTCCATTTCATTGTGAATAAGAGCCAAGCAGCCTTTTCTGTTGTGTTCACAATTTGCTAACTGTTTACACTTCCCTCTTAATTACCTTATACAGTTTAATGGAAAGAAAATCTCAAATTCTTTGTTTTAGAAAGCTTGTTTGCTATACCAAAGAACTCATCAAGATAATAATAATGAGATTATTTCTATCTTTCAATCCAAAGTAGGATCTTTCAGAGATTTAAAGAAAAAAAGAGCAAACACCAAAATAGAGTTTTAAGTGCTGCTCATTCTGATACAACATCAGATAGGAAATCCAAGTGTAACAGTTCAGCTAGGGAATATTTCTTCAGCTTCTAGGGCAAGACAGAGTTGCTCAGGAAGTGTGGCATTTTTTCAGAGCAGAGAGCCTCCAGGAACTGAAAGGTAAGAGTACTGGTGACCCTTTGCTGCCTTAGACCAGCTGGAGAGAAGGAGGCACGCACTGGAGTGAATGCTGCCACATGAAAAAGGAGCAAGAGTACATGAAAATTTTCGTATCAGTATTTGGCTGCGAATGTGTGTCTTTGCTGGTGGGAATATAATGTTTCCATGCTTAATTTCTTTTTCATAATGTTGTTTTATAGTCTGGATCTGCAATGATACATTATTTCTCCTCTAGATTTCTACCTTATTTTCCTGTGCATTTTCCTGTGTCATGCGATCACACAGAGTGAGTATTGCAGTTGGTGGGAGTCCTTTAAAATTCCTTAAGGAGTTTAAAGGTGTGCTCTGGAAAGATGGTTTCTCCCTTTCCACTTCAACTAATGAATAACATAGACTAAGAATCACAAATGGGACTTGTAGCATTTTAGTGGCCCAGACAGGGTAACTTCTCATTCCTAACTGGATCTGCTCGGTAAAGAGATCTGACCTGAGTGATAGGAACCAAGTGTGTAGTGATTCCACTGTCTAATTGTTGGATACCTGATTTCTGTACTGGCTGAGTTGAAGGGAAGGCACCAGGGCTGTCCCTGCCAGCACTACACACAGTCCATGGGCAGCATGAAGCCTGTGAAGGAATTTGTTGGCTTGTTGGGCAGCCCAGAATCATCCTGGGACTTCTGCTGCTTTCCTCTAGTTTTGCCTCTGGATTGTTGGGCTAGCAAAAAAACAACAACCAAAAAAAAAAAAAACCAAAAAACCCAACAAAAACAACAACAACAAAAAGAAAAACCAAAAAAACTCCCACCAAAAATCCCTAACAGATGTAGCTAGGAAGAATGGGAAGTTTAAGATGTTCACATGGTGTTATTGCAGATGGGTTCACAGGGCATGTGAGGATGGGAATATTTCAGTTGGAATAAGAAAAGAAGAGCCAAATGTTCAATGGGGAACACATGCTTGTTTAACTTGCACTGTGCTGACACACAGTGGAGGTCTCCACAGTACCCTTTCTAAAATTCACTCCAGTCCTCAGTAAGAAAAGTAGTTCAGATTTTGAGTACAGAGGAGGCACTCAACAACCCTAGAAGGAGCAGCAGCTGTTGAAGCAGCTACAGAGAAGACTAACCAGAAAACACTGAATGCTGAGATCAAACAAATTAGAATGAATCAAAGGAACAGCAGGAGACAAACAAGGGGATGTAGCCCAATGCACTGCCTTGAACTCAGTTCTCTCTTAAT